CGACCCCGGCTGGTTGAATCGTACCGTTTGTTTTCCAGATTGATTAACTGCATCATCTATTTCCTGACTCTGGTCTCGATGGCCGTATTCACGGGGATTTTGCAGCTGAAGTCGATTGCACTCATCTTTGTGATCAGTTTTGTTCTGGGGTAAGTCTGACGTTACACAGCGCACTCAGATGCCAGTAACACTGTTTTCCTCATTCTGTAGTTTTACGGAGAGCCAGGTTTGAAAATACTCTTGTGTGATCCACTGGAAACGTATTGAGGCAACCAAGCAACCATTTTTAAGACCATCATATACAGTAAATTCATTTTTTTAATAAACAAAACACATTACATGATAAAGTGAGTAATAACTACACTATATTAATGTAAGCTCTTTCGTAGCCTGCAAACGTTTGCCTCAAATTCAATCACAGACTGATATGTTAAACCGGTTATATTCGAATACCACTCATAGTATAGTATTGTATTATAGAATAATAATAATAATTGCGTTCGTTTGGAATGTTTCTCCCGATGACTTCTTTTACATATTTTTATTGATACTTACATTATTTTTTTCATAACAAAACTGAAAATCACAACTTTGAATTATTACAAATGCTGTAAGAAGTTCATCCCTTTCAACTTTTAAAGGTTACGATGTGCTTGACATTACCTCGACAAAAATTCCAATATCTGTGTTTGCTACATTCTCCAATAATTCGTACCACCAAGCGCATCAGGGTCTCAAATGATGTCTTTTGTCAAATACGTCATGAATTCAGGAATACAACAACTTTTATTAATATGGGGTTAATTTAAGCTACTGAGCAACAGCATACTCCTGTTTGTTGAACTTCTGACGCTTCTACCACAACTAAGACCGGCGGAATCATAAACGAAGCCGATCAGTCCTTTTGTTGAAATCAATCACATAGACCAGTACACACTAAGTCACATTTGTGTTGATCAACGACGTTAAGCTGAACGGAGAAAAGGTAATACAACCGAAAAATACCTCGAAATGTTCAACTGTAGACTGCGTGTTGTAATTCTTCGGGACTTTACAGTCTTCTTTCAACTAAACTGACTATTCTCAACCTGAAACCGATTTCTTCTCATTCTTGAAGTAACGCACAGCTCGGTTCGTCGAACAGACAAATTCAAGCATTCGATGACGGCAATATTGTTTTTAACTTTCGTGAAAAATTGAACTTCTTTCCTGTATGTTTAATTCCCGAATAATTGTTAGTTGTGGTCTGTAACAGCTATCACTATTGATTTCGACCTTTTCTCCACCCGCACTGCCCCAGATTCCAACCCCTGACCAATGGTGCGGCATATACACAGATCCAATCTGCTTTTGAACCTTGAACCCTCAACTGTTAGTTGTATGTTTTACCATTGTGTCAACCAACGTGCGTCGGAATTGACCGCGGTTATCAAATCAATTTTGTTTGCTTGTTGTGCTCAATAATATTCAATAATTTCCTACTGCTGATAGTAGTAAAACCTGATGCAATGTGGGGTTTATTCCTTCCAGTCGTAAACATTTTATTATCTGATAGCATGTGCGCAGAGTTGGGTATTTCTACTGTTGCTCTCAAACCATGAGCTGATTACTCTAGTCCGGATGAAAGTTGCCTGGAGTTTTGGAGTAATCATTTACAAATCCGACTGTTTCACATTCGAAGTGCTAGTCTTATGGAATCCTGGTATTTTCTTGGAAGGTGATTCACATTATCTGATTAAACAACTATCCATCCTAAACCTCCCAAACCCATTAAAGGATTACTGCTACGTGTTTGGTGGCAGGCTGTCTGATATAGAGTATGCAGACGATATTGTGCTACTAAATGAGGATCTAGGTAAGTTGTAAGCTTTTCTGGATAAGTTGAATGCCAGTGTAGCCACGTTCGGTATGCGCTTTGCACCTTCAAAGTGTAAAATGTTACTACAAGACTGGGTTGGTCCGACACTAAGTCTCACTATAACTCGGAAATGATAGAGCAAGTGGAAAAGTTTTGTTTTTTGGGCAGCTACATCTCACCCGGTGGACACATCAAGTGTCAGTTCACATACAGAAGGCTCGGTTGGCATTTGGCAATTTGAGACATTTTTGGCGCCTTCGCGACATCCGGATGCCTGTGAACGGTCGAGTGTATGTTGCAGCAATTCGGCCAGTTCTGTTACATAGAGCAGAAAATTGACCATTAAAAAACAGGATAAAGATAGAATGTCGGTTTTTGAATACCGCTGTCTACGTAGCATTGCACGAATCTGATGGGGCAACCAGACGAGCAATCCTGAGGTTAGGCGTTAAGTTTTAAGCAACCGCGTTCTCACACTGGAGCAAATGGTTGAACTCCACCGCTTACATTGGTTGGGGCATGTGTTACACAGATTACCAAATAGGTTGCCAAGGCGAGCGATGTTCGCCGAGGTAGGTGGTGGGTGAAATAAAGCTAAGGATGGTCAACCTAAGACCTGGCATGAGAATATGAAATCCCTAACCAGGATCCTAGGTCACACAGGTCTTGTTGGGCTCCCTGGCTGGGGACCTCGGGATGTTCGTACCTGATGGTTAGATACACTAAGTGATATGGTTGGGTGTCATAAACAGTGGCGTTTGTGCATCCTCTGAATTTGTCTGCATCATTAGTTCACTGAACTTCACAATTTTCTCTCCCATCCTAATTTCAACCTTCCTGTTTTTGTCACCCAAACGGGCAGCCGAAAGACAGCAACCAAGAGCGTCGCACGGAAATGCGTGCCTAATGGTTGAACTGAACTGAAACTGAAAACTTATTAGTCGTCAATTAGCATGAACTATTTGTGATTGGTTCCCATCGGTACACATTATCACCAATCCAAACCCTCTCCAGATAGCACGAACTGCAGAACAGTTCATCTCTTCGAATAGAGTTAGGAAGAGTGTGACAATACGCCACTCCAAGTTTAAGCAAGATATCACTGAGCTACTTTCAACTTCAAACAAAATTAACTGCATCGTCGAGGGAAGTAACTTGCGATATAAACTCGAATAAACCAAAGTTGAGATTTCAGTTTCTCAAATTCACTTTTTCGAATAGATTATGAAGCGAAGGGATCCACTGGTCAAATAGGTTTCTGTTTGAACCTATTGAGATTGTCTCATATAAATCAGATAGTAAATGCTTGAAAAGCAAATTTACCAAAAACATAATGTAGCGAGGCGAGTTGACTGGGAGAACGTTTATTGATCCAATTCAAAACAACCGGTGTACGAGTTCAATTGTATACATTCAATTCTTAACCGCGCGGAAGGATGATTCATGCCTCTTTCTGTTGGTCAATCCCTGTTGGTTTTGGTCCGCACTTGACACGTACGTCGCCTCTTCTTCCGCATGCCGTTTTGACTGGTTTGGCCCGATTGTGGCGCTAGATATGTTGATCGACAGCTCCGACGTTGTGGCATTCGGTGGGTATCTTTCTGGTTAGCCGCGGATTGTCTGTCGGGCTGTAATTGTCGATTCGTTCGCTTAGGGTGTTAGTNCCAGCCACTACGTCTGCGCGTCTGGTTGGATGGGCTCCATTCTTGATTCGTTCACCAGCCGGGGATCACTTTTTACCACCTTCCGTCATACTCACCCCTCTTTTAAAATAATTGCCGCGGGTGTACCACAGCTCCAATTCTGTGTCACTGTTCTTACAATTACAGCCGATGGTACATTCTGGATTCAAATGCACTTTGAACCACCGTAAATCAATTTCCTGGTAATAGTTGTATAGCTTTCATCGGAATTTGTAATGCTCTTATGTCAGACTACACCATCGCCTAAAAATAACATTTGAAAAACACGTCATTATACAGGATTATGATAAATTTTCGTTTCGTTGCTGGAACGCTCCACTGTGTTTGCATCGCCACCGTAACCGGTGAACATTAACATTTTAGAAAGTGCCATTGTTTCAATTTGCTTGTTATTCACAGTCATCTGCAAGTAGTAATGTAGTATAAGTTTTATTTATCCTTCAAACTAGGCTTTGACGCGCCATCATCAGTACGTCTATTCAACCGCAAACTAGGGAAACACCCTACCCTTTTTCATATAAGCTCATCAGTATCCAGCGGCCCTTTCAGGCTCTGCACTCCAGACAGTAAACCATGTCGTAATCATGGTATTCCGATGCCTGTAATGCCATCCAACTCAAAAATCAAACCGTACGAGAGGCCCACGTGAAAGTCTATCTGTATATTTCTAAAACATTTCAACTGCGCCATCGACTGAGGGTTCTTCTGCCAATTAAACTCATGCAGTTTTGAATTACTGCTGACAATCGCACAATTATCCTTGGTGCATTTTACAGCGCCACACGTACCGTGAATTGTTTATTTCTAACCAACGGCACCGATCATATTTGACCCCCGTGTGTACATTTTACGGGTACGCGCCAAGCAGTGTAGACAGACTTTGCTTTTATCTACCGCATATTGCCGTGCGCCTTCCTTGTGTGTCATTCACGTCTAGGTCGAAAAAACCCGCTTGGAATGCCACTCAGTGTAACCAGACTTGACAGAGTGTCAGTTATTTGGTTCGTCTGAAAGACACTGTTCGAATTCGGTGGTATGCACTAAGCACGATGCACTTCTGTTTGAGCAGGTAACGACGGACCACTTGTTACTCACACAAGCTGCATTACTGTCGGGTTTCAAGCAGAAATTTATTGAACGTCTGTCATTTTATTGGTCATTATTATGTTGTTGTTTATTCCAACAAGTAGAGCTCAGTTCACTTCCGGAACTCAGCTCATTTTTGATTGGGTCTACACATGTAATCTTCATTGAACAACTTCGTTTAGAGAATAGAAATCATTATTTCTCACGCTGCTGCTGCTGCATCCATCAACAGACTGAAAATTCTGTCGTCTAATTCGGCGAGGCCGAAACACCGGCTCTGACATACAATAGCACCGTGATCAATCAATGATCGGCCTTTGAATTTCGCTAGCGAATCAAATGACCGTACCCTGACGGAAATTGGTTGACCGTTTCCAGTCAACACATTGACCTTTCGGTCCGAGAACAGCCTCTATAATGACCAAAGTGCATTATCGAATTGTGTTACATTTTGTTCACAGTCCGAAATACAGTTTGTCTGTTTCGCGTGATTTCACTCAACGCGGTGTTTTTGTTCCTACACTGATTCACATATGATGCTCTGAGCTGGCGTGCTCCCTATTCCTGTTAGTGATTATTCTTTTCTTTGTCTGACTCGCTCAAATGCACAGCATTCAGTGGATGTTTAAACCATGAAAAGTCTAGAAAGAAAAGTTGTCAACCCTTGGAAGGCGTAACAGAATCAAACGTGTTTTAGATGGCAAGCCTCTAAGATATGGGCATACACATTACACACGTGACTAAAATGAGACTGTGAAATGGAACATTGGAACATGTACGTTCCTTTATTTTACAAAGCAGGGACATGCCTACTAGCGCATATGTCTCTAATCCTCCGGCGGTTTATTCGGAAAACAGTTTAGGCTTAGCGGAATCTGTCATTCAACCGCGGCGTTGTCACACAGTTCAATCTTTCCAAGAGGGCACAAATCTATACTAATTTAATGTAACCCGGAAAAAATTGGCCATTGAATTCAAATCATTATAGATTTGACACATTTAATTTAAATATATCACATTATTTACGCCTGGCCTAAACAGTCACACATGTCTCAAAGTACTGTTATCCCCAGTAACATTTGTGTTTCATCTCCATATTCCTTTTCGTCTCATACTTTTTCTCATTTTCGCCGGTAAGCTTTTACAAAACTCTGTCAGAAGTTCAGATGCGTACCGGTTTATATTGAATTGAAATAACTAACGTTTTATTTTGCGGTCCACAGTGTGAACATTTCGACTTACCTTTTGCATTACGCCTAATATGTTTATCTTGTCATCTGAAAGTAAGGCCTTGTTATTTTCTCCAGTTTCACAATGACCGGCTTTTTGCCACTGGGTTTTGAGTTTGCTGCTGAACTCACCTATCCGGAAAATGAAGGTCTCACATCCGGCCTACTGAACGCGTCCGCCCAGGTGAGTACCAGACTTCGTGCACTGTAGCAATTTGGAACAACCGATGAAACATTCATTCAAAGGGCAAAAACAACTGTTTATCCCTTTTGTGGGTCACGAGTTTGATTTCAAGGTGAAAAATGGTAAATTTGATCTGGTTCTATAGTTGCTCTCACAGTCCTGATGAATCGTGATGAATTGACTGAAAATCACTCTAGTCGGCATAGTTTAAGACAGTCGATCAATTTAGGTCAGTTTCCATGATACATTTGTTTTCGATGGTAGTTCACATACCGGTGTGTTATTTGTGGTCGATTATTTGAGCCCATGATGTTTCTATGAAATTCTGACCCAGCTATGGTGCTTTTTTGACCTAAATAAAAATGCGTTCCGTTAGACCTGATTAAATTGGTTTCGTCAGTTGAAACGGATCGGAACCGTTACTTGAGCTGATAGATTCCATTGAGAGAGCACTAGTTTATTTGCTTATACTCATCCAACTTTTCCTGTGAAACAACTCACGAAAATTGCGCAACCGAGTACTGGTCATAACGGATCCAGATAAACCATTCTGCGTGGCCAAATTGTACAAACATTACGTCACTCATCCGCGAAACGGTTTCACGTGTAGCTGAGACAAATCAGAGGATGAGTACCAAAATTAGCCGTTTTGTACTCGGAAAATTAGAGTTGATTACAAAAATCAGGTTGCTATGATTTTCCGGTCACAGCATAAGCTATTCAAACATGTTTTTCAAACGGACGCCTTATACTCCATTTTGACAAGTACATCGCTCCCTTGATTCCTCCCTTCACCCACCCACCCCCCACCCCCACCTGAACACTATGATGAATCTAGACGACAAGTGGATCATACTCAAAGTATGCGGTGATCCTGGTTACATGTGAGATTATTTCTATCTCTTCCCAGGCATAGTCTATATCTGATTTGTTGAAATTTTCCGACCATTACTTTCCGACATTACTTTCAACTGCCAAACACGGACACATTTTGCCTTGTGATTCCTATTGGCCATATATCCTGTGAAACGCTTCAGAAAAAATCCATTAACGTTGTAATTAACGTGTAGCAGTACTTTGAATCCCGTTTTTTTTAATGTGAGTGGTGGAGGTGTAAAAACGGGCTATGACTTGAATCTCCTTAAACATTCAGTTGGCTCCATTGACATTCGAGAGTATTGGAATAAATAGCCTGTAGATTGATTGGGTCATCTTTTTAAGAGTAAATTTTTTCAGTATCTTTTTATTTGAATAGTGGTCACTGATCGTTTAGATTATTTTTCTAGCGTCCCTTTAATACAAACTTGACACACTTGGTAATTACCTCTACCCCAGTCCGATTCAGCGTCACCAGAGCGAGTGAATATACAACATTATTCACTCGGTGTATCTTTGCAATAGTAGATCTTCCTTTTGATTGCGTCATTTTTACCATACAATTCATATTTTTCCAGTAAAATTAGTATAGTTATACTCGCTGCTATCAATTTGGCATGTTTAATTGTGGTGGTGGTGGTGCGCAGTGGTTTCGTCCCTGTCACCAGCGTGCTTTGGAACCTATGATCCAAGGTTCGAGCCCGGTCACCACCACCCGGCTTTGGTGGTACTCAGCTCTGCTATCGTTCGGTTCAATACCAAGCTTAACCTAGCGGGGTCTTATGTGGTTCGCCATTCCAAATCCTGGGGCTTAGGTTACCGGTTTCCATCACTAATGAGAAGGTACTTCTTATTGTGGCGTTTTCCCCGTCTGCTGTTCATCACACCTAGATGTGTAATAAAAAATGTCCGTGACTCTTCATTTTATCTGATTCCTTTTTTTCAAAATACAAAGCGTTAGGCTGATACGCAATTTTATTTTCTGGCACAACTCTTAATAGCACCTCGGATAGAGAGAGTCTCATCACCCTCAATTATGAACATGTAACGCTTCAAATGACATGTGCGAGTAAGCATATTGGTACTGAATCAATGCTCACAACTTGTCCCGGTAAACCTGTGCAGATTGTTGATTGCCCGGAACAAATTCGTGAAAAATTACTTGCTTGGAGAGACCTTTTGCCTTGACCGTACAGAAACAGAACCTGTGCCGTTGTATTATGCACACACACTTTTTAATTGGGATAGGCATGCTTCGACAGTGTCAGACATGTCACACGATCACGAGCGTTTTTCGTCATACTGGTCCACACTTTTATCAGTTGTGCTGCAGCACCCCGGGCGAACTTACGAAGAACGGCTTCTGACATTGAGTTACCGGGAGCTGCAGGTCCAAAATGCATCCCACTGGTATTTAGTGAAACGTAGTGTAGGTGTTAAACAATCGTCTATGTGCGTACATCAATCATCTGTACGACAAGAAACATTTTCATGAAGAACGAAAGCGGATGTGAATGAACTTATCCCTGCGCCCTTTCGATCAAGACGTTTTAGCATGTGGAAAGTCAATTGAGCACAGACATTTAATCTCTTGCAGATCATTATGAACTTTAGAAGTGCAGATGACTGTGATTCTACCAACTTCTCGCCAAATGCTGATCAGACGTATATATATATACATTTAACACGTATACTCCATATATAGACATCGGATGAGACTTGCTACCAATAGGGGTTCATAAACACTGCATGATACAAAATCTCTCTTGCAATTGCACTACAACATTTTGATGTGAAAGCACTTTTCCATGTCGGTTACATAAACATAAATCTCAAAGGTTATAAGCCTAAATCAGTGACTGTACGAGCCGTGAGTTTTACTGTATTTAATCCCCAAAAGTTTATTTTTTCCGATATTGATGAATGCTTTCTTTCTAATCATTGGCACTTTAAATCAATGGTTTTCGCGAAAATGACATAATCAATTCACCTGACCCTCAGTACAATACATATCAGTGCTTTTTTGCTCCCGTTCCGTATAATTAGCTCTTCGGTATCATATTCACCTCGGCCACTAGTCAGTTGAAGAGCAGCTTTGGAGCACTGGCTGGCAACTTGCTCATGACTTTACTTATCTTCGTGGGTTTTATCATGATGGGTAAGTTCCGGCGAACTTTCTGCGGTTGGAGAATTTTATGCTTGATTGAGTTTTTTATTTCTTCTACTTAAATGATGAATTCGTCGTGCAAAGGAGGTGTGAGTTGAAAAGCTTGGAAGCTCTGGACAGCTGTTTCGACCTGATTGGGTTTAATCAGCACTGTGAATCCGTCAACCTAACTGGGGATCGAACCGGCCAAACAGAACGCAAGCATACTACTCACTCAGTCACCGGGCAGCTGATCGGACCGTTTTCCATTTAGAATATACACAATAAAGCACAACTCATCTTTGCTAGCTTGTTGCGGGTATCGGTCTTCGGTCATCTCAGCACTGGGCACCAGGGGTTATGACCGGGTGAAAACTTTCACAACTTGAATTTGTTGTATGATTTACAGTTGGGTCGATGGATTCGCACTGCTGCTGATGAGACCCAGCCAGGTCGAAACAACTGTCCAGTGCTTCCCAGTTCTACAGCTCACGCCTCATTTACACAACGAATTCATCATATAGCCTAATCAAATCCTCCATCAATCTCAAAATTGTTATTGGTAATTGTTCGATACAGATGCGCATAAAAGACCCCAGAACAAAACATGAAATACACGCACACACATACACACTACTTATTTTCAATTTCACTTTTTTGCAAAACACGCTTGTCAGGGTTGAACAGAGTCATCGGTACCGCACGATGCTCACCACCTGTCCCGATAAAAAGTTTCCCGTTCTGATTTGGTCTTCTTGCAATTCACCAGATTATATTTCAGTTGCTCTCGGATTTATCACTGGATAAGAACAATAGTATTAGAGACCAAATAGCGCGTCATTGGGTGCTTCAAAGTGCTCTCGCTGTTGTTCTATCATGTGTGGATAGAAAAAGACGGCTTCGGGATCCCGTGATCTGGATGAGCATCTGTCTATCCGCGAATGAACAAATGCTATTCTACTCTTTTTTGTTGTCGTTTTGTGGTTGACTGAATTATCGAAGAGCATCCGTCTCATTTCTTTTGTCTCTTGTCTTCTTCTCACTTCGTACACTTTCGAGTATCACAGATTGTGACTAATAATTGGAGGCCAAATTTGTTCATTTGGAAGTTTGCGGAGCAAAGCAACTCCCAAAGTTTCAGATATTTTACACGCTTCATCGGGTCTTGGCTTGAGGACTGGATACATATCTAGGGCACGCATTTGTCCCATGTGTCTCATGTACGGGTCTTAGACATATTTTGTTGGAAAACAATCTGAAATTGTTTTTCACATTTCGGCTCAAATTCCTGACCGACCGCGATATTGGAAACGTTTAGAACCAACGGTATGCACACTGAAATGCTGTGTTTACTTTTCCAGAGTTCATCAATAATAACTTCGGTTGACCAATCCCACTCAATATCTTTACTCACAATATCACGCGAATGTGATGTGGATTGTAAATTGTGGTGCAGTCTGGTACATTCTATTCGCATCTCATATGGTGTACCTTCATTTGCGTCAACTTATTGCAAATTCATTTGTGAGGTTGTCTCAAAATCCGTCCCCAAGATTTGAACGTTTCAAGTGTTAAGCCTGACGGCTGAATATGAGATGTTTTATTCCACCCAGCCAAAATGGTACCACTTGGCCCAGGTGTCTTATCAGTTCAAACCGACCGTTTACAACGACCGAAACTAAACACATCTATGACCGATGAAAGCACCCTGGTTATTACCATGCAAGTTTTGCTTTATGAGGAATTTGGAAAAATTTGCTGGTCATTTTGTGTATGCTATGCAAAATTATGAACAGAATCCTTATACATTTTGAGCAACATGAAAAAACTTCATTTACTAGAGAAGGTATGTATTGTCCAGAAAAATATCTTTAGTTCAGTATCTGTAATAGATTTAGGTATTTTCTGTTCATTCCCTGTTCCCGGATTTGAAACTATCAAATAATCTTGGTGCCACAGCAAACATAATAGTAGGGCCTTTTTCTCTCATACACTGAGTATACCAGTGAACCACTCCAACTTGGAGAAATGAGCAGGTGACTCATTGAACCTCGTCAGTGGAATTGATGAAAATCATTGACATGACTTCTGGTCCACAGCACAAACATCTACGGATCTTGATCGAGACTTTACCTAGAACTAAAAACTTTAGTTCGTTATATCAACCGTACAAACAGGTAACGTCTTTGTAATACTCTTCCTAAAGGTCATAGCGTAAAGTCCACCTTTAACATACTAATTAGCATTATATGAACGCAACAAATTATCCCGATTGGCTAAAGTTAATCGTTGTTTCTGTTCTACAGAATGATAGGCATTTCAATTTTAGAAGACTGGGTTTGCTTTACTCGTCTGAAAGGCGAATAATAAATTTTATTTCTAGTAGCTGATGGGTGATAACTATCCTATTGAAAAGCAGATATAGGATTCAAATTTCCACTTATCGCTTAGAAATTACCTTTATATGAGTATTGGAACACACAGAAATGAATAGTTGAGGACTTTAACTGTAATTGATTCCAATTTCCATCAGTCCATAAATAATAATAACAATAATAATACTATGAATCAAGGTATAGTGAACTATTTTGGTGTTTCTTTTGTTTATCATACAACTTTAACTCACCGTACAATTACGTCTCTTTTAGTCGCGATCAAAGAAGATCTGAGACGTCAGCAGATGCACAAAGTGGTGAGTTTATTCAAGTTTTTTGATTGCACGAATAAAAACGTTTTGTGACTTGCATGCTACTTACTTGATTTCCCATTCTACTCACTACCGCCCTAAACCAATATGTGTTATATCTTCGAAATTAGATACTGACATGATATGACGATTGTTAAAGCCATGAATCTCATCTCTGTCGAAAGAAATTATTCAAACTTGATCATAGTTCTTCATAGGCGTAGCACTGTTGTGTCCTTTTGAATTCTGTTGTATGATAATGCGTACTTTCAAAAATAAATAAATAACGCCAAAAGAAAGAACGATTTCCGAAAACTAACTGAAGTACACAGAAAAATGTTAGTGATGTCGAGGGCTGAAATGCGCCAACGCGATGCTTTCATCGATACCTGCAGATTTGTGGTAATACTGTTTTTCCTGGTCTCTTGAGAGTACGCTTATCGATCCGGAGTGAATGGAAAGTTGATTAGCGTTTGTTGAATGGAAGATAATGTTTTCCTTTCCTCCTGGTTCGATCAGGAAAACATCACAAAACTGTACACCTTTCGAACACCAATGTACACTGTTTGATATATCAGTTTTGTTTGTCTATATAAGTCAGTTTCGACTCCCCGACAAATAAATCTGCAAAGCGGCAACCGGAAAGAGAATTGTCCGTTTGTCTGAGTTTTTCTCCTCCACTGAAGAGTAGCAGAACTGGTTATTTTCCATCTGTTCGCATTTCGATGCATTAGATTGTTCAGGATTTGCATTCGTAATCATGTTTATTCGTTGTTTGTCGTTTCGTATTTATAAAGAAATACACGTCAGCACATCGCAACCAGCCAGGAATTATAGCGGAACAGCTGGGCGCAGGCATATCTCGTATAATTGACTGAATGCAGCTTCACTCGGAAGGAACGCAACTTTGGCTCATCAAACACTTGATAGCCGCTTTCTAATTTCATAAAGGAGGTCTTTATTTCACCCTAAACTTATAGCTGCTTCCAACTACACGTGGATTCATTGTGCTTAGTCCAGAGCGGTTCTGCATACTCTCTCAACCGACACGTTCACAGGAGTGGGATAACTATCGAATTGTTTTGTCTTTACACATACATATATATAATGATCAATTGCGTACTTTACTGGCTCTTATTTGGCTTTGTCCCACTGGTCAATTGTGTGGATTGTGTTTTGCCTCGAATTCGATTCTGTTCAAAGTCATGACTGATAAAATAGGAGAATCATGCTTGATTGCGAAGCTTCTGTGTCATATTCCAGAGATAGTTAATTTACCAGCGGGTGCCGCAACCGGCATGCCTTTGGCCCTGTGGTTTAAGGTTCGAACCTCGTTACTGCCACTCAACATGGTGGTAGGCAGCAACGCTTTTGAAGGACACAGTACCCCACTTAACTTAATGGGTGGGTCCTTATGTAGCTCGTCAAACCAAGTCTAGAGGCTTAGGTAAACAGTGTCCATTGCTGAACTGTAGCTCCTCGTAGCTGTGAGGCTTCGTCTGTCTGTTGCTCATTACCACTGAAATCACTAATGATCTTCTTTAATATCGAGCATTATTGTTTTCCTTTATCTAATTATTCTAAAACAGTGCTCCCAAAGGGATTGCCGAGATTTTGGAAATAGTTTTTAAAAGATTCGCTGGTGAACTATTGGTCTAATTATTACGGTTCTCAGGTTGATATCTTTGGAAAGTATTTTCTCTGTTACGTTAATCTTATTTTTCCGACTCAGTTTCTTTTGGTTGGTCACTTTCAAAACCAATTATTTGATTCCCAGGTATCTGAACAGGCCGAAGAACAAGTGAATGAAGACGTCAATCTCACACGGTTGTAGAACTGTTCAATCACAGACGATCTATCACACAACCAAATGTATTTTTCTACCTCACTCCCTTGTGCTTTTCATCTTGTTCTTTTTACATTTGTCAACCCGGTCGATTTTGCACCCGCATTTCCCCAATGCGCCACTATCCGCCTGTCTTAGATTTTGTGCCTTCCTTTTGTAGTAGACTGAAATCACACTCTGGCCTCACCACGGTCCTATTCCTCCCATCCACCCCCGCCGGGTGCCCCACTTGCAACACCACCCTTAAGTAAAACTTTGGTCTCGTTTCCTTGGCGCACAAGCTTTGTGTGCTGTATCAGTGCTACCTGTACTGCTGATCAAATACCATCATATTCGTGCACTTTCATCCTCTCCTCCCCCACTCCTCAATTTAGTTCGATTCGATCTTTCCGCGTGTGCACACTTTTCCTCGCCACCATCAAAATCAGTCACGTTATTATCACCTCTTATGTTTTATTTTCATAAACACATCGTACCCTCTTCCATTGCGCCAAACGCGTTTCTTTTTTCTATTGGTTTACTCTAATATCGAATTGATTTGTTGTAATTTTATTTTTAATCATCACATTTTCTCTGTTTGTCTCAGTGATCTGTATTGCTGTCTCAGACCACCACTGGAACTGATTCACTTGGTGCACTCTTTGATAGGTTCCATTCATCAAGAAGGAATTCTGTCCGCGATGCATGAACACCTTGCCTTTCGATTTACAAGCGCCTTGTCTCGAAAACAATACTAGTTATTTTTAATCTGAATGACATACGATTTCCTTGGTCCCTTATCCTAACCAGAATAGTATCTCATTTCTTATTGCCATTTTTTCCTTGTTCTATTTTAAATTTAGTTTAATAAAAGGTCTGATTGCTCAGTACATATCTTTCTCTGATCCACGTTTGTTTCTCACTAAGTCACGTGCTCCGTGGAAATGTGTTTTCCCTAATCCGAAGTCAGGCAATTTTCCCGATTTGTTCCACACAAAGAGAGACCAAACTGTAGACCTCTTACCAGTTTGTCTTTTGGGCATTCCGCTGCTTCGTGGACCCGTCACATGTGCAGCTAGTTACTTAGTCAGACACGTACAAAACAGATTGATTTTGTAGAGAAATATGTAACTCTTATAGCTGTAGGTCATTGAATCATCGTAAGATTTTTCTTCCGGCGGTGCCTCTTTCCAATCCTCATCCCTCCCAAATGTTTGGTTTGATTATGAACTTTGAACAGGTGCATGGACGCTTTCAAGCACCTCTCCCAGAATTTTCAGCTTAGGTGAGTTTTGAATGTCGCCTTGCTTCCCTGTAGCGCATCTGTGAATAGTCCCTTTGGTTGATTTCGATTTACCACCTGTATATTTTGAGCACTAAAAAAAACTGAGAATACTGATTATTATTCCGTTGAGGGATACTTAAATTAGGCATGGTAACTGAGATCGCACAACCCCTGTCTGATTTCAGTCATTTTCGTTCTCTTCGATGATTTTCCGTGGAATTGGTGAGTATTCCACTATGCAACATATTTGTGTTGCACACAATGTAGTACTATATTTTTCGAACAAATATGGCACTTTCGGCTCTTCAAGTTGATCACAGAACAAAGCAAATTCTTAACACACCGTCAGCTAACGGAGTGGTAATAGAAAGCTACAAATGGGCTACGTCACCAACATTGTAGAGCATGTGTAGCCGGCTAATGACGCGCTAATTTTCAGTGACAGGTAGCCAATTGTAATCACATGATTTATAAAGCGCCCCGCTTTTTTGATTTTCACCTTTTCTCGACTCGAATTCCGTATGAACCGATAATTTCACGCAATTTGACTGTATCAATATGACATTATGTATAACTCCTGCAACAGTTCAGACGCATTTACTAGCTAATGATGTACATGACTGTATCTTTTTTTATTGCACACCAGTGTGTTATGAACCGCAGAGGGGGAGAACCCCATAGTCACGAAGATCTGCTGCTTAATGGTGAAAACCGGCAACATAAGCCCCGGGACTTGGAGTGGCTAACCACATAAGGCCCCGATAGATTAGGTGTGGTATTGAACCGGACGACAGCGGATCTGTCTACCACTAAAGTCGGGTGGAGGTCGCGGGGGTTGAACGTTGGACCACAGGGTCCAAAGCACGCCGGTGACAGTGACCAAATCGCTGTGCCACCGCCACCTATCCTATTCCATCATATCAATCGTGAACATCCT